TCTCTGCCCTGCCTCCCTCAGTAAAGAGCACTAAACCCAGGGCCTATGTACTGAAGTACATCCCCAGCCATTTTTTTGTTATTTTGAGACAGAGTCTCCCTAAGTCACTACATGGCCTCGAACTTGCAATCTTCTGCCTCAGCCTTACAGAGTACTGGATTACATACATGTTCCACCACACCCAGTTTGTTTTCTCTTAATGTTCCACCTACCAGTAGCATTTGACTTAGATTACCTATTCCTTAAATAAAATACATCTTTTGGATTACACTAAAGACACCACACAAAATTCATACATGTGATTTTTCACTTGAGAACTAACCTTACTTCTGTGCCAAATTTGTTAACATTTCCCTGTTCACTGGCCTTATGAGTACTTAAAAGCTTGAACATTTTAGCTCTTACATTTAGGTCAATGATTCACAATGAGTTAAATTTTGTGAGTAATGTATAGGTCAAAGTTTATTTTTAAGTGTATCAGTATACAATAGTTCTAACACTATTGAAAATAATACTCTTTTACTATTGATTTACCTTTGCCAAAAATCAACTGAACATATGTGTATCTGTGGGGAATCTTTTCCTGGAATGTCTATTTTGTTCAACTCTCTATCCTTAGATCAATACCACAATATTTTGATTACTGTAATATATAAGAAGTTCTGAAGCCAGATACTGTGAATCTTTCAATAGCATTCTAAATTTAAAAATTACTTTGGTTATTTCAGGTCTTTTGCATTTTTGCATCAATTTTAGAATGCATTTGTCAATTTCTATGGAAGAAAAGACCATCGGAATTTTAATGAGCAATCTATTGAATATAGATAAATTTTGGGTGAAATGTTTGTAACACTGAGTCTTCCAGTGTAGGATCATTGCTGGGTCATCCTATTTAGTAAAATATTCTTGAATTTTTCTCGGGAATATTTTGTTATACTTAGCATACAAAATCATGTGGATATTTCATTAAATTTATCTTTAGGTAATTTTGATGCAATTGCATCATTTTTTAAAAAAATTATAACTTTCAGATGTTCATTTCTTGACTATAAAAATATAACGAATTTTTGTATATTAACATGGAACACTGCTATCTTGCAGAATTCACTATTAGTTTTAGTAACTATGAAACTCTTTAGGACCATCTAGATGATTCATGTCATCTAAAAATGAAGATAGCTTTACTTCTTTCCAATCTGTCTTTTACTGCTTTTCATACCTTATTGTATTAGCTAGTTACTGCCAATAAAAAATGTTAAAAGAAGTAAAAGGGGTATCTGTTTAATTTTTCTCCATTGCTTGTAATAATGATGTGACTTTTCTGTTATAGTTTGCTGATAATGAAGTACATTGGTTGCTTTTGAAATTTAAAGCTACCTTGCATTCCTAAAATAATCCTAATTTTCTTATCATATTATTTATAGGTACTGCTAAATTTTATTTGCTAAGATTTCTGTCTTTATGTTGGTGTGTGATGTTCATTTGCAATTTTTTTCTTTTTGTCAGATTTTGATTATCATTGTAATGGCAGCCTCATAAAATGAGTCCTGAAGCAGTCAATTCAGCTTCCTGGCGAGTTAATATAGCACTGGTATCAAAAGAAATCACCAACAGAGAAAAAAACCCATGCACTGGGAAAAAATTTTATTCAAGCCAGGCGTGGTGGCGCATGCCTATAATCCCAGCACTTGGGAGGTTGAGGTAGGAGGACCATTGCAAGTTCAAGACCAGCCCGGGCTACAAAGTGAGCTCAAGGCCTGCCTGAACTGTACAGTGAGACCCTGTCTCAAAAAGACAAAAATAAATAAATAAATAAATAAATTTAGCTAACTGTCCCTCAGACAAAGGACTTCTATCTAGAACATATAAAGAATTTAAGGGGCTGGGGATTTAGCTCAGTGGCACAGTGCCTGCCTGGCAAGCGTCAGGTCGAGTTTGATTCCTGGTACCGGAAAAAAACCAAAACCAATAAATAAAAAAAATAGAAGAATAAAAGAATTTAAAAAATCAGGCCCGCAAAATTCAAAGACCCAATCAAAAAATGGGCATCTGAGATGAATACACACTTCTCAGATGAATACAAATGGCAAAGAAATACATGAAAAAATGTTCAACATCATCAGTCACTTGAGAAATACAAAGTAAGACAACACTGAGATTTCATCTCAGTCCAGAAAGAATGGTTATTATCAAGAAATCAACCAATAACAAATGCTGGTGAGGCTGTGGGGAAAAGGGAATGTTTCTCCACTGCTGATGGAAGTATTGACTGGCTCAACCACTATGGAAATCAGAGTGGAGATTCCTCAAAAAACTAGGACTGGAGGTCCCATTCAATCCAGCTAGTCTCCTTTTGGGTATTTTCCCAGCAGAGTTGAAAATATACTACAGTGACATATTTATAAACCCATGTTTATAGCAGCATAATTTGTCATAGCTAAATTGTGGAAGCAACCCAAATGCCCATCAACTGAGGAATGGATAAAAAAATGTGGTATTTTTATACAATGGAGTATTACTCAGCTATAAAGAAAGATAAACTCGAGGTTTTATAGGTAAATGGATGCAATGAGAGCATATCAACAAGTGAAATAAATCAGACTCACATGTGTAAACACTGTATTGTCTACCTAGTGTAAGAAACTGAAAAAGTAATAAAATTCAAGAGGTAAAATAGATATTGTGAAAGGGAAACAAACTGCTAGGGAAAGGTGAAAAGAAAGAAGGGGAAAAATTTTACATATATATATATTATATATATATACACACACACACACACACACACACACACACACACACATGAGCTAAGATAACTGTACTAATTTCTATTGGTTTATTGAAAGAAACAGTTAATTTCTGGACCAATTTTACATGCTTATATCTGGTAAACTGAACAACTACTTTCAAGATAACAATATGCAATGTAACAACCATTGTTGATTTCCTAGCATCTTGTTTTGAAATTGTGTATCGTTTTTACTGTTTTTTTACTTTTTAAAATAAAAAAAGAAAGTTAAAAAATAATATAGCACTGGTATTATTCTTTTGTTAAATAGCTGGGGGAGTTCAGCAATAAAGCCATTTGGTTCTGGAGTTTTCTTCTAAAATGAGTACAGTGTATGTGGAGTGGGAGGAATTTAACCAAAGATTGTAGATCTATTTGTTATCTTTTTCATCCTTTGTGAGTGTTGGTAGTCTTTCAAAGGAATTTTGTCCATCTTAATTTTGTTTATTGTTATAAAAATGTTAATAGTCTCTGAATTTCTTCACCCTTTTAATGTAAGATCTGAATTGATACTTCTTTAATTTCTAATATTGGCAATTTGTTTTATCAATCTTCCTGAAGGATTTTGTTGATCTTTTCAAATAACTTTGCTTCACTTATTTTCTCTGTTTCATTCCATTTACTTATTATTTTGCTGGCTTTAGTTTGAATTTACTGGGTTTTTTTCTAGTTTTTAAAACAGAAGTTTAAATTACTGAATTGAACTTTCCCTCATTTTCCAGTGTAAGGAATTTTAAATTCCCTTCTGGACAGACAATATACTTTATGTAATTTCAATGCTTTTATTATTTTGTGTGGTGCTGTGGTTTCCTTGAACCCATGGCCTTGCACATGCTATGCAAGTGCTCTATCACTGAACTATAACAATCCCAGCGCTCAATCTTTTCAAAAGTGGTGAGATTTGTGGCTCCGAATATGGTCCATCTTCATGAACGTTCCACGTGTACCTACCAAGTGTGTGAATTCTGCTATTGTGGGATTGAGTCACATGAATGTCAATTAGATTAAATTGGATGGTAGTGCTAGGCAGGTCTTTTACATCAGATTTCCAGTTGAACTGTTTTATCATTAAAGAGGAAGGTGTTGAACTTTCTAAAATTGTTAACTGCTACATGTGGTGGTGATTGCCTATAATCCCAGCTACTCTAGAGGCTGAGACAGGAGGATCATTGGAGTCCTGGAGTTCAGCTGAGTACAACAAATCTAACACCCACAGCAGTAGCCTTAAACTGTGGTAGAGAGATCATATTGTGTTTTTTCTCACTTCATCCCATTTAGCAGAAAATGTGTTGCATTTGATTTAAACAGAGGAGAGTTATGATAGGTTCCCTCTGCTGGAATTGAACACAAGACAACTTGTACTGTGGAGCACTGGGGCAATGCCAAATACTCGGATTATAAAAAGCATCTGAATTAGAAATTTTGAGTTTTCCTTCAATCTCAAATTGGTAATACTACTGCAATGCGTTACCTGAGATACACTGAAAACCCTTCTGGGGAGTCAATTTTAAAGCATACTTTAAAAAGATAAGCAAAACGCTACAAATGAACTATTTTACAAAAGCGCTAACCTTGCCACTGTGTTCTCTTGGATGGTGGCCCGCTCTCAGGCTGTAGGCTGTATTTCTTTTTCTACTTTTACTTGGCCCAAACTCGCTCTTCAGAGCTTGTATCTTTTCCCACCTTTAATAAAACTTTGTTACCGTTTAAAAAAAAAACAAACGCTAACCTTGCCCAGAGGTGTGCAAGTAAAGGGGGCAACAGCTTTAGCCCTAAAGAAAGGGCTACCTGACAGTTTCCCAACACGAGACTAACTTCGCTTTTGCAGACATCCGGCCCACAGTCCACATATGAGCCAAAGGCTCGGTCCAGCCCGGAACAAAAGACTCGCAGGTCCTACAGCAGAACGCAGGCGTGGGCCCCGGTGGTGGTGATGGAAGGATGCTTCGCTTCCCCTCGGGTAACAGACTTCTCCAGCCGCTCAGCTGGTAACCCCAGCGGCTCCCGTACCTTTCTCGCCTCCGCTTTACTTACTACTTTCCTTTTCCAACCACGCCCCACCTTCCAGCCGAAGCACCAATTAAAAAGGTCACAAAATAGGCTGTATTTGTGTACCTCATCCTGGTCGGGGGACTCTCGCGAGAACTCGAGAAGAGCCAGTCTTTCCTTGAAGACCTCGCGATACCTCGGGCAGCCGGGGGGCGGGCTGCGCGTGGCCCCGCCTCCCAGCGCGCGGGCGCGCCTTGGCGGGAATTTCGGCTGTTTCCGGTTTAGGACCCGCTTGCTCCGGGTCAGTAGTGTTGACCTGAGGACGCAGATCTCGGGACTGGAAGTTTAAGCGGGTAAGACGCCCATCGCGGGCAAGGGGCGCCCCAGGGCCCAGGCGGCAGCCTTGTGAGGGGACACCGAGTGCTGCGGGTGGGTCTGGTCCTTGCGCTGGGACTGGGTTTGGCGTCCGGCGTGGCTCTCCTGATGGTCACCCAGCCTGCCCGGGAGCTTTCACCACCTTGAGCGGTTCACAGACGGAGCGGAGGGCACAGTTCCCAGCGGGCTGGGGAGTGGAGGCTGGGTCAGTCCTGCAAAAGTTTCTTTGCCCTGCACCCTCACCCAGGCTGCGGAGTCGCCCTAGAGGGCAGATTTGAGTCTTTGCCACAGCCAGTAGGGGGAGCATTTTGTCCCAGTTCTGACAGCCTTGCAGGGAGGTGGGGGCGGGGTGGGACCCCGAAAGGGGAGGTTGGGGGTTGCCCACTCTCGCTCTTACTCTCACTCCCACTGTCACATTTTCATTTTTGCTGGAGGGACCTTTGGGAACTCCCTGAGTTCTTTTGGCCTATTCCACTTCCAGGAATCCCTTTGCAGCCTCTTTTTTGGAGTCTTAATGATAATCATAACGACCCACAAACATTGCAGGACATGAAGTGAATAATGAGCGACTGCTCTGTTGGATCGACGCTCCTGACCGACAGTTTAGAGCTGGAGCTGAAGACAGAATGGTGCAACCCCCCGTGCTTCTCTTGTGCTTTTGACAGCAGAGGAGGCAAAAAATTTTCTGGAGAGTCCTACCTTGCTAGTGGAGCTCTTAAGCGGTAGGTTTTAAAAATGGGCAGTTTTTCCCTCATCTGAGTATTCATCACTTTCTTCGGAATGTACCGTTTCTGTACATTAAACTTTGGTGTTCACCAAGCCTGGTTTTGTAAATCGACACAGTATATCATAAAAATGAAATTTAATATTAGTTCTGTTGTTGATTTCCTGGTTGGAGTATACCTTCACATATTTTGAGTGTTAAAGAGAACTTATTTGGTAATTGATACTGTCTTAATCTTATTGCTATCACAGCTTTGGGGTAAGGAGTTGGACACTAATTTCCCAAAGAGAAATCTGAACTAAGTGGGCCTTTTAAAATGGTATTGTGCCCTCTCCCCATACCGGGAATCGAACTCACGACCTTGCACTTGCCAGGCAGGCGCTGTGCCACTGAGCTAAATCCCCAGACCCGGTATTGCCTTTTAAAGGCTATTATAATACCCCAGAGCTTTTCAGTCACTTTTAAGTAGTCATACTTAAACTTGTTATTACCAATTCTTTTTAATTCTGTATATCTATATATATAGAAGTCGTAGACTTATTTTTGCATCAGTCACGTATACATTTATTGCAGCAAAACTACTGTTCTTAAAATAGTTTGATAATACTTACTGAGGCAATTACAGTCTGGAATGAAATCATTTTTGTTGATTTTATGGTTGTACTTTGTTAGACACTTTAATAGAGATTACCCAACTTGATCATGCACATCATTAAGCATAACTCAGAATGATTTTTAGCTCTTAGGAAATATTAGATGTCCCATCAAAGAATGCAGTGCTGGAGCTGAAGCCCACTCCTCCTGAGTTCCATTACTCTTTAGCTTTACTTTTTTTTTTAATCACCATATTGGAAAGAAATTTTAATACAGTCTCTCCACAGTAATTCTAAATAAATTACCGAAGCATTTTCTGATTTACTATGTATGTCATGTATGATATGGATTCAAATACTGTAGAGAAAGTTATGCTGTTTTATGATACTTAAATATTTTATGAGATTAAATCAGTATTTTCATTTCAGGTTAATTTTGAATCTTGATCCTTTACCAACTAATTTTGAAGAGGACACAGTAGAAATATTTGGCATTGAATGGGTTACTGAAACAGCATTAGTGAATTCATCTAGAGAGCTTTTTCATTTATTCAGGTAGGTGTTAATGTTTTTCTTTTAACTATCTGTGAATATAAATGTTCAGTTTTGTAAGTTACATTCCTGAGTGCTTTCTCATAACTGAGTAGAAAAGGACCAGTGGAATTGCTCTTTTTCATCTGATTATATGACCAGTAACAATAAACAAGCAGTTGTGACTGATGGAGTAATGATTCTAGTAAGTTACTTTTTATTGATTTTCATAATCTATATTGTTTATATTTGATGCTAGGTATTGAAGATAGATACTTAAAATTTTCAACTACAATTTTGTTTTTTTTTTTTTGTTTTTTTTTTTGGTTTTTCTCTGGTACCGGGAACCGAACTCACGACCTTGCACTTGCCAGGCAGGCGCTTTGCCGCTGAGCTAAATCCCCAGCCCCACAGCTACAATTTTGGAAGAAAGTTAAAACACGTTTGTTGCTCTGTAGCCATAGTCTTTCAATGATCTTTAAAACATTAGCTCAGACTTTCTTTCAGATATATTTGGTGAAAATATATGTGATAAAAATATGATTACATCTCTTTGTGGGCAGTGTTTTAGAAAATAATGAAAATTTTCCAATACCCACAAAAGTAGAAATAATAGTATTATGAAGCTCTAGAGACTCTGACTACAGTAAGCGTCAAAGTTTTATCACATTTTTTCATCTGTCTTGTCCCTGTTCTTTTGCATTTAGTATTTCATAAACAAGTACCATACATTGTGTCATCTTGCCCTTAAATACTTTAGGACGTATATCATTAAAATACGGTTTTAAAGAAAAAAGCATGCCGTTATCACAGTTAATATCAAATTCGTTTTTTATTATCATTTAAAACATGATCCATATTTCAGGTTTTAGATGATTTTGAATCAGAGTCAGTTGTTTAAGGCAGATTACCCAAAAACACATTAAAAATATATTTGTAATACATTTAAATGAAAATAGAGAGATCTTAGGTATTGTACCACCCTTATCCCATGAAACCTTATGCAGACATCGCTGTGTCTGTGCTATGTATATTGTATTGGGAGAGCAGGCTGAATGATTCTCTAGTTTTGAACATTCTAGTAATGAGTCTGTCCATGACACAGGCCATAAATATGGGCCAATCTTTAAGAGTTTGAAGGCAGTTTGAAAGAATGATGAAAAGATTATTATCAGAATTGAGATAGCTTTTCATGAGAAGTCAAGTCTACATATTTCTGCTTTTTTTGTGAAGTACTGTATAACTAATACAATAAAATATTTCTTTATGTAACATTAATCTAGAATGTTTTATATATCTTAAACTTCCTGAAAACTTAATATCTCATAGATTGTTCAGAGTGTAGTAAACTTGGAACCTTCCATGTAATTGTTAACATACTTTAAAATCTGCTAAAATTAACTCTCACCTTACATTTTTTTAAACTAGGCAACAACTGTACAATTTGGAATCCTTATTACAGGTCAGCTGTGATTTTGGTAAGTTTAAAGTATGTTTAATGGGCAAAAGGAATACCACTCCATTACAGTGAATTGCACATGGTCCATGATAGTATAATTGGGATAGCATAATAATGAGAAGCAAGTGTTAGGTCAGAAAAGTCTACTGTATTCTTAGCTACTTGGGATGCTAAGGCAAGAAGATCACATGAGCCCAAGAGTTCAAAACAAACTTTGATAGAAAAGGAAAACTATGTCAAACAAAATGAAACAAGTTAACAATTCATTGTAGTTAGTGGTCAGAAAAAGTATGACATTAAAATTGTGTTATAACAGAGATATTTAGTATTTTTTCAAATATGTGACCCTTAAAGGTAAAAACTGACTAAACGCAGATGTGAATTAACACTTGTTTTGGAGGTGGGCAGTGGGATGTAGTATGTAACTTAGAAGTCACAGATCTCATGATACTTTGTTGATCTTTTATGCTTTCTGATTTTTTGTTCTTTTCTTTTGGCATTTAATGGATTACAGACCTTAGTGGGGTTGGTGTAGTTAAGGTAGTGAAGGAAATTGAAAGGCATTGTGTCTTATTGCAGACTACATGCTGCTTTTTAGAAATTTTATTGCAGGGTGGAATTTAGGGTAATAGCTTGGGCTCCACAATTGAAGATCTCACACTAAGCAATATTTCCTACCTCACTGAATTTTTATGAGCACTAAATGCCGTATTGGATGTTAAGTGCTTAACATCCAGTGTATGTCGTTAGTCATGCCCAAAGAACACCTGGAACATACCTTTGGTCAAACAGATTAATTAGCTTTTCAAAGCAAGGGGCAAATTCATATTACAAGGCCCAGTTGGGGTTTTTCAGAAGTGGGGAGTAGAAGAGAATTTGTGGTAGTATTTGGATTTGTGCTGGCTCATTTTGGTCAAGCTTTATTTTGAACTGAATGCTGTTCAGAAACAGGCACTTTGATGGTGTCCAGGCAATTTTATTTTTACCTAGGAGGCAGAAGAAATTAGAGGAGGTTCAAGAGGTTTGTGTTTAGTAAAGAAATAATAGTCTTTATAGCTAGAAGAGGGATTTTTTGATGTTTTTTTGTGCATATGATGCATAATGCCTTGTAAGTAATCAGACATGATTACTTAAGTTTTTGTCTTGTTGCATCATAATTAAAAAGCACCTATCTAATTTATAAAATATTTTATGAAAATTACAACATTGAGGCTTAATTGTTATCTAAGAAACATTGATGCTTAGCTATTAGCTATAAGTTGTAAGGTTTGTTTTGGTTTTGTCTTGTTTTTACAGTCTGTGATCAGTCAGTGTTATGTATTACTGTTTCATCATCTGATACGTCCCTATTTCATGCCAGATAGTATGGAAGGTGCTAATGAAACAGTGAGGAAAAATATATTTTTAGAATTTTCAATTGTGTTGGACAGATATTCAAGCACAGCTCAGCATGATAAATGACAGGTTGCAGTGATAGAGACACATGCATGTTTGTGGAACTCCATACAAACCTTTGTGATGCATAATGTATTGCACACAGAAAACACCAAAAAAGTTCCTCTTCTAGCTATGAAGACTATGGTTTTGTCTGTGGTATGTGCCTATCACTAAATGGTGCTACATCTGGTTTTTCAAGGATGGGAATGAAAAGCTTTGGAGAAAGGTTATGGGACAGCAAGAAGTCCAGGCATAAAAAATATAGGAAGAGAAAAACATTGAAGTATGTAAAACATAAATGATTAAGGAGTATGAAGTAAATACTAAATGTGTGTATAATGACAGCGATGAATTTAGAAGAGGTGAAATTTTTAAACCATACCACAGAATCTTGAGTTTTTTGAAACCCCTAAGAAGTCTCTCAAAAGTTATAGTGCAAGCCAGGCTGGAGGCACATGCCTGTAATTGCAGTATTCTAGGAGGATAAGGCAGAAGGATTGCAAGTTCAAGCCTAGTTTGGGCAACTTAGTGACTTAGCAAAACCCTATTTGAAAAGTAGTAAATAAAAAAAAGGGCTGGTGATGTAGTTCTGTGTGGTGGCCTTGGGTTCAAACCTCATTACCATACACATGCACACACACCATGTACACATGCATATACACAGAAGAAAAAGTTGAGTTATAGTGAAAAAACCAAGAATCCCTTTACTATCTAGAATGTCTTAAATCAATTAGGCTTATGGGATGCATTTACTGTACAACATTATTGTGACACTCACTGACTCACCAGAAACCACTCTGGTTGGCCCTCTGTCTCTTCAGGTTCTTCACCTGCAGGGATGGCGGGTATACTATTAGGGTATTTTCTGTGATGGACTTAAGCATCTACTTCATTCGATAGCCGTGGAGCATCCTGGGAGCAATGCTGCACAGATAATCGTAGATGATTGTATTTATTAACATTGTATTTTATTAGGCCAACAGCTTGGTTATTATTGTTGCCTAAAAACATTTTTGATGACAGTTCTGTTGGGCAGGTTAAGTATATCAAGATGACCTGTAAACCACCTTGTTCTTGCCATACAGTTATGTCGCAGCTTGGTTAATACGTTTATGTATTTAACCATGGCCCTTAAACCTGAAAAAGCCCTTGTGCGCGATCACTTGCTGCCAAGTGCATATAGTTCCTGTTCTACTCTATATCTTCCTGGGTTGCTTTATAGTAGGGGCAGAATAACATCAGTGTAGTATATGTTATGTTGATATCTGTCCTTGAATTTACTTCTTGGTGTTGCTTTTTCTCAGATACTGTATTTGTGTGTGTGTGTGTGTGGTCTCTAGATATGCTATTTTAATTTCTTTTATATTTTTCATTTCTGTCCCTATGTTTGTTTTTATCTAAAATATATGGAGTATTTGTCTCATTGCTGTTTGTAGCTTAGCTGACTACTGATTCATCACTGTCATTTTTAGGTCTATTTGTATTCATTGATTTTCCTTTAGTTCTGTGATGTGCTTTGCTGTTTCTTTTACTAGTAATGTTTTATTGGATGATGTACGTTATGGATTTCATGTTGCCACACCTCCACACTGAGGTTCAACCTCAGCCATTTTTATTTTTTGAGACTAAATCTTGCTAAATTGCCCAGGTTGCTGATGAACTTGCTGTCTTTCTCTCTCAGCCTCCCAGAGTGCTGGGATTACAGGCATGTTCCACCACAACTGCCACTGGCTCTTTTGGGGCTTGGTTTACACTTGTTAGGGCTTTTTAAAAGCTGCCTTTTGTTGTATGTTTAATATGGACGAGAGTTTGTTGCCTGTAATTCTGTTGTTTTCTCTGTTTTTGTTTAGTGATTGTCACTTATAGTGGTTATCAGCATTTTACACATCCTAGATATCTAGATAATTCTTGATGATATAAACGTTAAAGTAAGTAAGGGAAAGGTAGTATGGGGTAAGACTGGGAGAAAACCAAGAAATAATCAGAGATCATTTGGGGCTTTATAAATGATTAGTTTGAATTTTATTCTAAGTATAGTCACTGGCATTTTTGGCATTTGACTTGGGAACAACAGGAGTTGGTTTACATGTTAAACAGATTCTGTACTTAAATTATTAGAGAGGCAAAGGAGTGTGTGACACTGCTTAAGTGTCCTGTGACGATGAATAAACTAATTGTAGGGAAAGTACATATTTTCAAGATACGTTTGTTTATAAATTTGATAGGACATTGATTGATTAGATATGAGATTAAATGAAATAGAAGAATCAAGAACATTATACTCATGGTGTCATTTAATGAAGTGGAGAAAACGTAGATAGCATGAACTGGCTTTTGAAGCAATCAAAGGTGAACATTCTATCAGGCAATACTGCCTGAATATAGTGTTAGGTGGTTTCACATGTCAGGTTGGAAGTACAAAGCAAAGGGATGGGAGATAGATAAACCATTTTGACTTGATATCATTTATAAGTAAAGGAACTGATGAGATTTCATACATGTAGGAAGAGATGTACATTGAGGAGGAAACTGCACTGAATCCTGAGGAAGTGTGTGTGTGTGGTCTCTAGATATGCTCACGTTACTAAAGTAGTTTGCTTGCCTGTATATGCAAGGCTCTGGGTTCATTGGCGTCAAAAACAAAAAGCAAAACAAATAAATAAAAATGTAAAGCACTTGAGGAAGAGCCAGTAAAGAAGAGGTAGGAGACAGGATACATGAGAAGTGAAGAAGAATGGCAGCATGTGGTGGCTTCAGTGGAGCCAGTTATAGCTAGTGCTACTTTCAAGGCAAATTACTTGAGGCCAGGTACTACCTGCCATATTGGGTAACAGCATTGGTGACTATATTAAAGATCAGTTTAGAGGAGTGGTGGGGTACAAGTATTACATGGGAATCAATGGAAAAATTATAGGATAGAGTATTACTATGGATATGACCTATAAAATTTTTGTTTACTATCTGTTGATAAGTATTTAAGCTATGATTAACATTGTCTATTTTGGTTTCAGGGAGAATATCAACCCTACACTGCAAAGCAAACAATATTAGACAGCAGTGTATACTATTTCTCCATTATATTAAGGTTTTCATCTTCAGGTAGGACACAGAGGAGTATTTTGATTATTGCATGAATTTCTATATGTATACCTATCCAGACTGGCTGTTTATTGTATCTAATCACTTTTTAGATGCCTGAAAGTACAAGATGCTGAGAGTCACATTCCTGTCCATCCCTATGAGACTTTGGAGGCTCAGCTTCCCTCAGTGCTGGTGGATGAACTTCATGGATTACTTTTGTATATTGGACATCTATACGAACTTTCCAGTATTAATCTAGGAGCATTTGTAAACCAAAACCAGAATAAGGTCAGGCTACTTCATTTATTTTGTAAATTATCAGCTTTTTCTCCTTGCCAGGAATATTTGCTCAAGAATGACAAGAATTAGTAAAGAGGGGTACTCTGGTACCAGACACTGCCTGAGCTGAAATTCTGCCCTCCTCTTAGTAAAGAGGGCAAGTGATGTCTCTTACCTCAATCTCCCCACCTGTATACTTTGTGTAACTTCCTAGAGTTATTGGAAGAATTAAAGTAATATACCTAAAAGAGTTAAAATAATATATCTGAATCAATAGCATTTTACTCTGTATTTATCACAGTGTCAATGTTTAAGAGCTTTAAAGTGAATGGAATAACTTGTATCTTCTAGAAGTTGTGTTGTCTTCCTTACTGTAAAGTTTCGGACAAATCTCCATTTATATATTATAGTAAGATTCAAGAAGATTTGTAGTCTTTATGGTAAGATTTTAAATCTTTATAGTAAAATTTCTTATAAAAAATACTTTTAAAACTACATTATGATTTATATTCTTATCTTTGAAACTTTTTGGATGTTATTATTGTGGCTGAGCTTATAGACAAATAACAAGTCCTTCATATGAGAATGGGAGCATGTGAGCTTATAGACAAATAACAAGTCCTTCATATGAGAATGGGAGTAACAAATTAATAATTCATAATCAGGTTTTCTGAGCTCTTAATTCTCTCTGTTATATTGGACTTTACCCATTTAAATAATATTAAGTGTTTAGAAATATGTGTTTACCAACATATAAGATATAATTGTTTATATATTTCTGTGAAAGTTAACCAAAACAACAAAAAGTTATTCTTTGTGTAATAAAATAATTCCTATGGGTTTCATTTATTAATTCATAGGGAGCAAGTAAATATTTGCTTTTATTTTACTTTTTAGGTTAAAATTTTATTTTATTTTATTTTTATTTTAAACAGAGTAGTAAAGAACAATAGCAAAATGCCAACATCACAGACTAAAGAAAACAAAGCAAGAACATTAAAAATGATACAGGATTTTGAAACAAAATGATAGGATTTAGCAATGGTTGTTACATTACATATTGTTATCTTCAGCTAAGTTGCTCAGATTACAGATGTAAGAATGGAAGATTATTCAAACCATTAAGAAGAATAAAAAAATAATTATTAAAAACATTAGAGATGATAACATTTGCTTTTAATTATGTCATTTAACAAGGATTTATGGGTAAATTGTGGGAGGGGGTATATTTTTTCTCTTAGTTTCTGTATATGGGACTGGTTATATTTTTGGATACCTGTCAAAAGCATAACAAAATAAAAATTAATAATTTATCTAGCAGCAGAAATATATATAATAGGTTTTGACTTTCATATGCTCTTTACTTAGGCAGACTTGAAAAGATAGGTTGTTTGAAGTTCAGAAGACTGGATTTTTGAAGCAGGAGAACTTACAATCATCAGCAAATAAGCAAAAATAATACATTAAAATACTATTATTTTCTGAAACAAAAGACCTCTAAAAGTACAGAACATTTTAAAAAGTACATTACCATGTTTAGTGGGTATTTCAGTTTTAAGTGTAATTGTATTTGATTTTTTTTAATGTTTTATCTTCTATGCTGTTAAGAGTATCTTTACTTTTACATTTATCTCTTTAATTTTTCTCTTTTTAAAAAAAGTGAGGTGGAAAATCTTTTAATTTATTGGGAATGGATAAGTAAATAACCCTATCTTTTAGTGAATGACCTATATTTTCTTCACTGGTTTGACATTCCACATTTATCTATCTCATTTTTCCCTATTTTTGCTATTGTCTTTTCCTATACCAATACTGTTTGGTTGGTCTAGCATTTTATTTTATTTATACAAGTCCCTTCTCTCATTTTCCTTGGTGTTTCAAGGGAGCAGTTGTCATTGAATTTATTTTCATGGTGATAGTCAGTGTTGACTAGAGGAAGTCTATTGATAATCTACTATAGCACAGTAGTTAAAAGGTCTGGCTTTTTAGTCATACAGAATTAGGTTTGAATACCAGTGTGTGAATTAAGTGATAAATTTCACCTCTTTCAACTTGCATTTCTTGAAGCATGTCTACTTAATAGTTTGTAGACCAGCATGTCTACATGATAGTGTGTTCTATTTTGAAAATATTTTGTAGCAGTTCCTGGGAACTTATTACATTAAAAAATATTCACAGCTAAATTCTAAAACAATCATGAAAATATATTTAAAAAAATTTTTTTTACTGCTTTGGAGCTCTAGTAGAATCAGAGTTAATTGGAAAAAAACCTTTCCTGTATAGATAAGTGGGTTTACCTTAAACCAGCAGATGCCAAAATACCCTGCTTTCAACTCAGGTAGCTTCAGTGAAAAAAAATTGTGTAATAAACAAGCAAAGGTTTTCCCTGTGCATTTGAATAGTGGCGAGTGAAAGCGTTCTTTATCCTGATCTTTATGGAAGAGTTTTGTTATATGCTAAAAAACGTTAGGTTACATGGTTCTTTATCCTCATGCTTATGGAAGAATTTTGTAATATGGTAAAAAAATACCTAGTAAAGTATTATGAATTCTTATGGGTGAAAATTTCATTCACAGCTTTTCCCACCATCATGGCACTTACTACACCTCCATTTAGATATCCATTGGCTGGTACTAGAAATTCTTCACATGCTGAGTGAAAAATTGAGTAAGTTTATAGATTTCATTATGCTCTTTTTAAGAAATTTAAACTTTAATTGCTTTTTAAAATTACACAGATCATAAGTACTTTTCTTTTTTTTTTTTTTT